AAGAACTCTTTAAGTCTAGGATCTTAATCAATGGCCACCCATCTCATAAGATCCTATTAAGCTCACTTAGTGTGTGTATTAAGATTAATTAATGTACTTGGTTTAATGCAAGCCTAGATTAACTCAACAATCAAACAATACCATGCAAGAAAGAGAGTATCAAAAGAGTTGCATAGAAACATATATGTAACCACATATATTGAAGCTCAAATTCAACATTAACTAATCCAATACACAAGATAATCATCCAAAATTGATTACAACCATAATCAAAATAGTTCAGCCTAAATTTACAAATCCTAAGACCTAAAAATTCATAAATAAAGAGCTAGAACTATGGATAAAGCTAACTCCCCTTTGAAGCTCTTGGAACTCATGCTTCTTCCACCATATTCAAGAGTTGAGAAGCTTAGCTCATCATAGCTCTTGAATCAGCTCCAACTAAAAATTGTTCTTCAGCCATGACAGTAGCAGATGGAAGAAATGGAAATGGAGGATTAGGGTTTCTGAGGGAGAGATGAGAGAAGAAGATGATAGAAATGTAGGTGGTGGCTGAATGATGAGAGTCTCACCTCATTATACCCAAAATAGGGTTTCTAACCCGAAAATTGCGTGCATGGGTCAGTTTCTGGGGATGGGTAGGTCAAAATTTCCCGAAATGGTCGGGTCTGAGATTCGCTGATACGAGAGGTTCGCCGCGGTGAAACATGGCAGAGAGCCTTGCTTCAACAGATGAATTTCACCGCGGCGAAATCAAATGTGTGCTGCAGTGAACATAGGCAGAGGATCCTTTCCTGCTTCTTGTGCCTTGAGTTCTTCAATTCTGGCCCCAATCTTTAGTGTCCTACAATAAAAAAAACAACAAATTGAAGTATCAATTGTCCTAGAAATCAATTGAATACAATTAATTACCAATTATGACAATTTTATCCTAAAAAAGACACTAACTTAAAGTAAAGACTCTTAATCTAGATTAAGCACAATAATCATTAAAAAGGGCCAGAAAATACCACAAAATCATGGATAATGTAATGAAAAGATAATAATATCTTGAGCTCAATCAGCCAGCATCAAAAGAGAAGGGGAACTATGATTTTCAACCATACAACTCAAGCATACAAGGTGGAGAACAACTTAAGAACAAAAGCTAACCTTCAATCTTGGTTGGATGATCAAAGTTGATGACTTTCCCTTGATTTCCACTTGAAACTCTCCCTTTTCTCTCTTGTTCTCACTTTGGCCGAACCATAATCAGATTTAGGGGGAGGAAATGAGCTCATTAATGAACCAAAAATATCTCATCTATCACATTTAATGAGGAGCCAAGTGTCAAGTGCCTACTTAGTCTTGCATTTTCCCTTTTAATTAACTTAATGACAATTGAAATTAATTTCAAAAGTCAAGATCCTCTCCATTGGTAGCTTGACACTTGGAAAGCTCTAATTACCACCCATTAAAGGCTTGACAAGTGGCAACTTGTAGGCCAAGTAAAGTGCAAGACTCCGATTAACACTTTATCGGTGCACTTTTACTTCGGGTTTAATTTCTTTTCTATAATTACAGTGCTCTGGCTTCTATAATTATTTTCTGTCAGATCCATAAATTATTCTCTTCATTTTTATCTTCCCAAATTGGCCTCTTTGTCTCAATTTTAATTTCCCAATAATGAAATAAAAAGGAAAACTAATTTCCTTTCCTTTGGGTGATTTTTCCTCTTTTAAAAGGAATTGGAAAAAATCTCGGATACTTGAGGGTCTTCTTTTAATTCCATGATCTCTTATAATTTCTTGGAATATCATAGGAATTTTCTTGGGATTTTATTTTCCTTTCAAATATTTATTTGGAATTTCTCAAATAAAGGACCTTACATTAGCTTAAATCGCCCTTAAATTTCCTTGTAATTTCTCTAAGGGCAAATTGGTCATAAAACCAATTTTATAATCCCATATAATTCTCAAGGAACATTGTCCTTATTTTTCTTTAATTTTTTAAGACTCGGAATTATTTTTCCATGATTATTCTTGACCAATTTTCCTTAATTAGTCAAACTTTTCATAATTGGCTTGGAAAATTATAATAATTATTTTCCACCAAAATTCTTCTATTTCTCCTTGTGATTTTTGGCCTTTAAATATTTAGGGATATTCTTATTCCTAATTATCGTACTACCAGATGTGACAGTCTGGCACCATAATTAACCTTGAATTTGTAGCTTGCCCTTTGATGATTTAGATTCTAAAAGGTTATATTTTATTTTGAAGGAATGAGATTACAATGAAATCCCAATAGTAAAATTAACCAACTATATCATCAACAAACATCATTATTATGCATAACCACATTAGCTACTATTGGTGAACTAGCATTCCCATAATTTGGTAATCTCAATCATGCAAAGGCCAAAGTAATAAAGTACAAAGAGCAGCCACATCACAATTAGTAAAGCTTATCCACATAATAGCAATTAATCATGTAATAATCAGCAATGCAAAGTTAATGTTAGTAACTAGGTTAAACTTTGCTACCTTACTCCAAAGACTTGAGGTTTCTTTGTTTTTCTTTCTTCCCTTCACAAATTTCAAACCCTAACAAGATAAACCAAAAAAGGGGCAGCAAGATCATCAACCATTCCATGCAAAAATCAACAACATAACTCAAGAATTTCTTAAACCCTTTTAAAGCTTCTCTCTTTGTTCTTGAATTTTTAGAGTTTGTTTCTTTAACCCTAAAAATTTCCTTTTAACTTATTCCTACATGATTTTTCATATAGCTTCTAAATACGTACTTGGATTTAAGAAAATAAAACCCCTCTTTTTAGATTCCACTTGACCGAACCTATAGGGTTCATTATCTAAAAATTTCAACTTTGGTTCCAATGCTTCTAACACTTGTTCTTTAGGTTTACCCTACACCATTTTCCATTTGAACACAATGGAAGCCTTAAAATATTGAAAAACTCATCCTAGGAGTCCAGTTCCTAGGTTGGCTGAATTGGTTCTCAAGAAATACAACAAGGAAAACCCTTTAAGAACAATATATAACCACTTGTAACCACTAAGAACTATCATGCTTTGAAGTGTTCTAAGGAGATTGAACAACAAAACTTCCTCCCCTACTATATATATGATTGGGCCAGCATAAGAAAAAGGAGAGAACCATAAATTTTAACCATACAACTCAAGCAAACAAGGCAAGGCACAACTTAGAACCAAAAACTAACCTTGAACCTTGGTTGGATGATCAAAGTTGGTGCCTTTTCTCTTGGTTCTTCTTCAAACTCTCTCTTGCTCTCACTTTCTCTCTTTTGAATAAACAAGGGTCTGAAAAATAGGGGGAGGAAAAGCTGTTTAATGAGTAAAATATCCTAACTACCATTATTAATGAAAATCCAAGTGTTATTATCCCCTTTTAATCTTGCATTCTCTTTCTTAATTAACTAAACCCAATTGAAATTAATTACCAAAAGTCAAAATCCTCTCTATTAGGGGCTTAACACATGGCAAAATGTGAGCTATTTGAATTGCAAGACTCTAGTTTTTACTTTATCGGTGCACTTTGACTCCGGCTTTAATTTCTTTTCTATAATTAAAGTACTCTGGCCTTTATGATTATTTTCTGTCAGATCCATAATTTATTCTCCTTATTCTTATCTTCCCAAAATGCCCTCTTTAATCTCAAAATTAAATTCCCAATAATTAACTAAAAAGGAAAAACTAATTTCCTTCTCTTTAGTGATTTTTCCATTTTTCAAAGGAATTAGGAAAAATATTGGATATTTGAGAGTCTTCTTTTAATTCCAAAATCTCTTATAATTCCTTAGAATATTATAGGAATTTTCTTGAAATTTTATTCTCCTTAAAAATATTTATTTAGAATTTTCCAAATAAAATCCCTTAAAGTGGCCTAAATTACTCTTAAATTCCTTTGTAATTTCTCTAAGGGTAATTTGGTCACAAAAACAATTATATAATCTCATATAATTCTCAAATGATATTATCCTTATTTTTCCTTAATTTTCTAAGGCTTACAATATTTTTCCATAATTATTTTGTACCAATTTTTCTTAATTAGTTAAATTTTCATAATTGACTTGGAAAATCATAATAATTATTTTCCACCAAAATTCTTCTATTTCTCTTTATCGTTTTTTGCCCTTATTTATTTAGAAATATTCCTTATTTCTAATTATCCTATGATGTGACACTATAAGAATTTGATGTGGAAGTAAAAAATAGAGCCGGTAATGTCAACCATGTAGGAGATCACTTGAGTAGGCTACCACTATAGACAAAGGGGAGTATTAGATTCTGACAATATTTGTGATTCCTTCCTTAACCAGTCTTTATGTGCATTATCTGTTTCTCAGCCATGGTTTGCTCACTCAATTAACTATCTTGCTATCGATTTAATCCCTTCTCATTGACTACTTTTCAGGCTCAAAAGCTTAAGAGCAAAACTCTCTACCACATTTGGGACCCACCGCATCTATGTAGAATATGTGCTGACCAAGTGATTAGATGGTGCATTCCTGAAGTAGAGGCTCAGTCTATCTTGGAAGCTTGCCATAATACCTTATGTGCGGGCACTTTAGTGCTAGAAAAATAGCTAGGAAGGTGCTAGATGCAGGTTTTTATTAGCCCACCCTGTTTAGAGTTGTATTCACTTTTTGTAAGGCATGTGATAAATGCCAACGATTTGGGGGGTTAGTGGAAGGAATGAAATGCCACAGCAACCCATCTTGTTCTGTGAGATCTTCGATGCTTGGGAAATAGACTTTATGGGTCCCTTTCCACCTTCTCACAGTTACACATACATCCTCCTAGCTGTAGGTTACTTCTCTAGGTGGGTAGAAGCCATCCCCATATGAAAGGATAATACACCTACGGTTTCCAAATTTCTGAAGTATACTATCTTTAGTAGATTTGGAGTGCCTAAGGTGCCAATCAGTGATCAGGGAACCCACTTCTGCAACAAGTTACTCAATAACTTATTGGCTAAATATGGGGTTTCCCATAAAGTGTCCACCCTATACTACCCTCAAACCAATGGCCTGGCTGAGCTTACACAAGACGCTAATAGGGATGTCTCTGTATCAGATCATCTATGAGAAGTCCTGTCACGTTTCAATGGAACTGGAGCACAAATCATACTGGGCGGTTAAGAGCTACAATGCTGATTTGGAGGAAGCTGGCCTGAATCGACTCCTTCAAAATCAAGAACTTGAAGAAATAAAGTTAGATGACTACAACAGCTCAGACATCTACAAGCACAAAACTAAGCTTGTTCACGATGCCAACATCTTGAGAAAGCAGCTAAAGAAGGGTGACAAGGTGTTGAGGTATCAAGCTTGATTCAAATTCAAGAAGGGTAAGTTCAAGATGAGTTGGATGGACCCTACATTGTGACGAAAGTGCATAGCTTCGAGATGATAGAGCTAAAGGAGAAGGCCATAGGAAAAATGTTCCAGTGCAACGGTCATTTCCTTAAGCTCTATGAAAAGCCCACATTGCCTTCTTAAGGCCAGGTCGTCCGTTTCCTTTGTCTCTTACTTTTCGCATGAATTTACTTGTACTCAAATTATCTTGCTATGATTATTTGAGATTGTGAAAGGGATGTCCTCAGTAGGAGTAGTTTTAAATTCTGTTGTTTTGTTTGTTTTGAATAATCTCCCCTAGCCTTGAGTTTGATGTGACTGTGATTTTGCTTCTTTTCTTTCACCACCATACACTTAATTGCATTCATGATTTTTCCCATCCTTGCGCTTAGCTCTTTTCATTACATTCATGATTTTTCCCATCCTTGCACTTAGCTCTTTTCTTCTCTCTAGACGGGTAATGTGTTGTGCTTCAATCCTAAATTAAACTTCACAACTTCCACCTTCATTGTTTTTTGTTTTTGGGCTTTGTGTTTTGGTATGTGACTGTGTGCTGCAATGCAGATATTGCTTTGAGTGTGTGAGGGGGAGGTTTAAAAGTGGTTTTGTGAAGTGTTTATTGGGTTATTCCTTGTTATGGGTGGTTTTGGTTAAACTTGCCAAATTTTTTTGAAAATTTTGAAACTTTTGAAAGTTTTTCCCTATCTTCCATCACTTGTTTTTGAAGTTTTGTATTAAATTGTTGAGAATTTGGTGATGAATTGCTGAGTAGGGTTGTTTTGATAGGTTTTTTGGTAAGTGGTTTTGGTATAGAGTCTTTATTTTGAGGTTTTTTAGGGTCTAAAGTGTCAAAGACCTCTCCGTGACCCCCGATCACGACTTAGCTGCTTTCAAGTTACAATCTGGAGGTTAGTCTAAGGAGGGGAGCTCTCTGTGTGTTGAAGTCACAACCTCGCTATCTCAGGTTGCGACTTGGGAAAGAAACTGGGTAAAGGCTCTATGTGAGTTAAGGTCACAACCTCACTGTCTTCAGGTCACGACGTGGAGCCTTTTTGAAACCCTAAACCCTCCTCTATCTACCGAAGTCACAACCTCACACACCTCAGGTCATGACCTGACATGAAAAGTTAGGATTTTTCCATGAGTTCACCTCTTTACCCTTACTTATTTCCACCCTAATTATCTTTTTGAGACTTGAACCTGCCCTGGATTCCAACCCTGTTTGCCCCAGGGACCCAAAACCCTAAATCCGTCTTATAGAATCACACAACCCTTCCTCTAACCCTTCTCTAACCACAACGCCTCATCTCCCTTCAACTCGCCCTCCACTCTCAGATTCTTCAATAGCCGCATCTTTTCAACTTCCCTCTAAAGTCACAACTGCTCAACTCCTACTTAACAGTTTGTTCCCTCTATAAATGTCTACTTGCACCTGTTCCTCGTCTCTTTCAATTTCTAAGTGCCTCCACTCTGAGATTCCCTTCCTGTAGTTTGAAATCAAGCCTCCTTTATACCCTTGTGCTCAATTATTCCATCCTTCGTCTCTCTTAAGGTCTGTTAGATCTTCTCTTTTTGTTTTTAGTTTTGTTGTTCTTCTTGTTTAGTTTTCTGCGTTTTAAAGGAGTAGGGAGTATTTCTCTTGCTAGGGTTTTGATTTTGATTGAGTGGAGTTTTGGCAGGATGTTTAAAATGCTGTTTAACTAGTTTTGTAATTGCTTGGGATCACTTTTTCTGTAAAATATTTGGTTTTCAGAAAATTGGTTCGTTTTGCATTTTCTAAAATTTTTGGGTTCAGGTTACGTCCTCATTGTTTTCAAGTCGCGACCTTAAGCCTTTTTGAACCCAATTTGTTCCTTTTATTTGTTGAACTCGCGACCTCACTGTCCTTCAGGTCGTGACCTGAGCTCCAGAGGAGATTTTAAACCTTTGATTCACCCCTGTTGTTTCTAGACTGCAATTTCTCAATGGATTTTCACTTTACCTATTGAGGATTTGCAAGAAATTGATTTTAGGCAATTGAAAATTATGAATGCTTTGGTTTTCTCATGATTTTCCTAATGGTTTTAAACTGCAAGTGTCCTGATTGAGCTCAAGATATTATTATCTTTTCATTACTTTATCCATGATTTTGTGGTATTTTCTGGCCCTTTTCAATGATAATTGTGCTTAATTTAGATTAAGAGTCTTTACTTTAAGTTAGTGTCATTTTGAGGATTAAATTGTCATAATTGGTTGTTAATTGGATTCAATTGATTTCTAGGACAATTGATACTTCAATTTGTTGCTTTTTTATTGTAGGACACTAAAGATTGGGGCCAGAATTGGAGAACTCAAGGCAAAAGAAGCAAGAGAAGATCCTCTGCCTAAGTTCGCCGCGGCCAACATCTCACTTCGCCGCGGCGAAAACCCATCCGTGAAGACAGGTCTCTGCCATGTTTCGCCGCGGCGAACCTCTCAAATCAGCAAATCTCAGACCCGACCATTTCAGGAAATTTTGACCTACCCAGCCCCAAGAACCGACCCATGCACGCAAGTTTTGGGTTAGAAACCCTATTTTGGGTATGATGACATGAGATGATCATTATTCAGCCACCACCTTCGTATCTTTCATCCTCTTCTCTCATTTCACCTCAGAAACCCTAATCCCATTTCCATTTCTTCCATCTGCTGCTGCCATGGCTGAAGAACAATATCTAGTTGGAGTTGGTTCAAGAGTTATGACTAGCTAAGCTTCTCAACTCTTGAATATGGTGGAAGGAGCATGAGTTCCAAGAGCTTCAAAGGGGAGTTAGCTTCATCTATGAGTTCTAGTTCTTTATTTATGAATTTCTAGGTCTAGGATTTGTAAATTTGAGCTGAACTATTTTGATTATGGTTGTAATCAATTCTGGATGATCATTTTGTGTATTGGATTAGTTAATGTTGAATTTAAGCTTCAATATATGTGGTTACATATATGTTTCTATGCATCTCTTTTGATACTCTCTGTCTTGCATGGTAATGTGTGATTGTTGAGTTGATCTGGGCTTGCATTTAACCAAGTGCATTAAATAATCTTAATACACACACCAAGTGAGCTTAATAGGATCTTATGAAATGGGTGACATTGATTAAGATCCTAGACTTAAAGAGTTCTTTAAGGTTTTCATTTAGAAGACTTGGTGATTTCTACTCCCAAAATTATTTTGAACCATGATTGCTTCAAAATTGTATTCAAGAGATTTCATATCATTAACTTCACTTCATTACCACTATCTTAGAAAAATCCAAAAACATAGTAACTTAGATTAGCATTAATTGCATTTAGTTTTGGCATTTCATTAATGGTTAAAAACACCAAAAACCCCTTTTTCATTACTCTGCATAGCATTAATCTAACTTAGACATCTAATTTAGGCTCCCAAAAGAGAACGACCCGAGTTTGCACTACTGCATAGCTTGGAAAAATTTTTGAGCGAGAACCTCTAAGCGAACGATAAAAAAAAGCTCTCTTTCAAGTGGCGTCGTTGCCGGGGAGCCAAGAAATTGGTTCTCTAGGTTAGCTTGTGCTATTTGATTGACTTTTGAGGTTTTTGATCTTTATAGGTAGCATTTACGGTAGTTTAGTTGCATATTTGTTCATAGTATAGGTTTTCATCTTGCATAGCATCAAAATTTTTGGAAATACAAACAAATATACTGATTTTCTTGATTTTCAGCATCTCTCACGTTGCATCAGTGAAGTCCAGTGTCTGATAAGCACTCTGTCAACTTTCGCCACGGCCAACATTACCTTTCGCTGCGGCCAACCTTTTGAATTTCTGAGGGAATCCTCTCGGGACACATTAGCCGCGGCCAACTTGTTCTTTCGCCGCGGCCAAATATTTGAAAAACCGAAGGATTTCTCTCGGGATACTTTCGCCGCGGCCAACCCCTGTTTTTGCCGCGGCCAACTCTGTCACACCTTACTTATATAATACCTTAGCATTCATTTAGAACCATTCCAGACTACTTTGGATGGTCTTAAGCTTAAAAATTTCAATTTGGACGTTAATTTTTGGAAAATTACTGTTCACTGTCCAGTTTTCAGATTACAGGTCCAACTTTGAAAAATCATAACTAATTCTAGAAATATCGTATGGAGGTGTTCCAAAATTCTACGGAAAGCTCTTTCAATGCTCTTTAAGGGAAAAATATTCAAATGAACTCATCCTCATGGAAAACGTACAGTTTATTGGATTAAAATTACTATTCATTTGGTAAAATCTGGACTTTCCAGATTCTGTGCCTTAACTTCGAAAATTCATATCTCATTGTATACACACCCAAATGATGTGATTTACCACTCATTTTAAAGCTTGGGATGTGCACTATAAGTCTGCCAAATCTCATGATTTAACTCATTCATTTGATAGGTCAAACGGAAGCTCAAAACTAACTGCTTCAGGACCTACGTTTTATCCTTTAATATCTCCTTACTTTAATTCTTTTTATTTCTTTGGCATACCTAACATGGACTTACTTTTTCCCATTCATACTCATATACTTTCATTCATGCCATAACATCCTAAGCATATATATTGAAGTAATGGCATTCATAACATAATTTACAGCATAGGAGAATTATACATTGAATAATAACATCAATCATTAGTATTAATAATTCTCCACTTCTTCTCCTTGCTTCTCCTGCCCTTAGTGCCCATCATTGATTTGACCTAAATGGTTGGTTAGGGAGGGGGTGAGATTCGGGGGAATCTCAGTAGCAAACATTACCACATACATGCACAAGATGGATGCTAGTGTATGGTATGTAGTTTTTCATAAATTTAAGTTAACTAGTGACATGCCATCATGCTTTATGCTTGGTATAAAAATGCATGGCCATGGGAACATATTAGAAACAGCATTTCCAGCAACAATCATCATGTCACAACATCATTCAAACAACAAATACAAACCAACACATAAACATACCATGTCAAGCACATAAAGGGT